CTACCACAACACCACAACACCGCTACCACAATACCACAACCACAACACAACAGCGCTACCACAACACCACTACCACAGCACCACTGCCACTACCACAACACTACTACCTACTAACAACTCAACCTTGCCAACACCACACCACTAACACAACACTACCAACACCACACCACTAACACAGCACACCACTACCAACACCCCACCGCTAACACAGCATACAGCCCAACCCGCCACTACCAATACCACACCACTAACACAACATTACCAACACCACACCACACCACTAACACAGCACAGCGACCACCACACCACTAACACAGCACTACTACCACGTTGGTTCCTGATGGGAGTTACTGTGGCCACTTTTGCCTGCGCGGGAGTGCGTTCCCTTCAGGGTTGCCAATCATTCCAGATCTAACATGAGATACCTTTACACAGTACTTTTCATTGAGCGGCCTGCGCGGGCCACAGTAACTCCCATCCCGCCGCGCGACGGGCCACACTAACACCCAACGGGCCACACTAACACCCAACGGGCCACAGTAACAACCGGTCGCCCCCCGTGGCGTGCGGAACGCGGCCGTGGCGGCGCTGGAGGCGCCGCCAGAGAGCTCCAGCGCAGATTCAAGACATCCACGCGGGGCTCCCGAAATGTATCTTCATGCTGTTTGTCTTGCTTCCGCTCCCGATCCTCTTCCCCTCCTGCACCCGCGTCGATCTCAGCGGGTTCCTTGACACTGCCGATCGAGCCTCGCGACCCGCCGACGACCCGCGGGGCGGGACCAGTCCACACCGTGTCGGAACCAGTCGGCGCTTGCGGCAGCTGGCCGAACCAGAAAACACAGACGGGCGTGCTTGCCTGCGCACGAGCGGGTGGACCCTGGGCCAGCTGACTACCTACCAGACCACCCCAACCCAACCCGAAGACCCGAATCTCGGGTTGGGGGGGGAAGGGTTCCACATGCGTTTTTTCAATGTTTCCCGAACCCCCCCCCCACTGGAAATCGAGGGTAAATCTGAGCCTTCGGGTTGGGTTGGGGTGGTTTGGTGGGTGGTGACCGGCCCAACTTTACGCGACGCTCCAGGCCGGCGGCCCTCGAGAGGCCGGCCGGCCCTGGCCTGCCGTGAATCGGGCGGGCACCTGCCGGGCGCGTCCGGCGGGCCGAGATCCTCACGGGCAGGCTGGGGTGGCGGGCCCTGGTGGGACGCAGGATGCCATACAGCCGGCCCGTGTCACGAGGAGTCGCGACAAGGGTGCAAGGGCCCTGGGAGGCCATCTCGACGCTTTGCGAGCGGGGCGCGGCCAACGAGAGTGGCCAGGGATGGACCTTGGCAAGGTTGCCCTTGGAAAGTGGCCAAGGAGGGACCTTAGGAAGGTGGACCTTGGGAAGGTGGACCTTGGGAAGGTTGCCCCTGGGAAGGCAAGCATGCAAGGATGCCCTCGGGAAGGCTGCCCATCCTCGCCATGCGGGTCGACGGTAAAGCGAGCGAGCAGGTCTGCAACAAAGAGAGCGGGCGGACCCGCAGGGGCGGGTCGGGCGGGCCAGCCCACACGAGCAGGTCGGGCGGGGGGGTGCGACGGGGACAACGCCGGCGGCGAACGACGACGACGCCGGCGACGGGCGAAGACGACGACGGCGACGCCAAGGGCGACGTCGAGCACAGCGGCGACGACGAAGGCCACGGGGAGAGGCCACGCACGGCGAAAGATACCACCGGCGAAGATGGCTGGGCGAAGACGACGGAACGAAGACAACCAGCTGAGGACGACCGGCGAAGACGACCGCTAGCGGGAGACGACCGCAGGCGAAGACGACCGCACAAAGACGACCGCAGCGAAGACGACCACTACGAAGACGACTGGGTGAAGTCGACATGACGAAGACGCCTGCGGCGACCACGACCGGGCGAGGACGACTGGGCGAAGACGACCGCGGCGAAGGAAGCCGCAGCAAACACGACTGTCGGGCGAAGACGGCCGACCTGTCCCGAAAATGTATACAATGCGGGGGGGAGGAGAGTATGGGGAAGGATGGGAGGGGAGAGTTCAGAGATGGAGGTACAAAGGGTACGGCACGAGGGGAGGCAGCAAGGCAAGGGAGAGACGGCGGCAATCAACAAGGCGGGCAGCTTCGCAGCAAACCGTCCGTGCCGAAGAAACCTCTGCGAGACACTTTGGGACTCCTCAACCTGAAGCCCCGCCGAGCCTGCCCCACGTCCACTCTTCATCGGCGTCCGCGTGCTCCCTGTCCGGTGGCTGCAGGTCCCTGCGCTTCGTCCCAGGCAGCGGTCTGGCCTCGGCTCCGCTGACCGCCAGGGAACACTGAGACGCCACCGCGGAGCCGCCTCCTCCTCCTCCTCCTCCTCCTCCTCCTCCTCCTCCCCCTCTTCCTCCTCCTCCTCCTCATCCTCATCCTCCTCCTACTCCCCTTGATCCTCGCCCTCTGCACAACACAACATGCAGATGACATGGGGGAGGTCCCGCCATGTCTGAGCGGCTGCCTCTCGGGTCGGCGCGGGGGCCCCCTCGGGAAGAGCGAGCCTGGGGGTCGCGCCGGTGGCCAAGGTGGGCCCCACGACGCCTCCAAGATGGCTTCCACGGGGGCCTCCACTGCGGCCAGGTTGACCCCCAGGATAAATAGCCTGCTTCTGCCTCCACGACGCCTCCGAGACGCAAAAAAATGGCCTCAAGAAAACTGAAGATACCACCAAGGCGGTCCAATATGGCCTCCAAACGGCCCATGAGGTCCCCATCACGTCCCAAGAGGGCTCCAAGAGGATCCCAAGAGGCCAGAATCATTGTTCGCCAGATGTTTGAGAAGTTTCCGCGTTCTTGCCTTTTTGGATTTCGACAAGATCGCTCCAACAAGTCCCAGGAAGTCCCTAAAAGGGCTCCAGGACGGGCCAAGAGCGCCCGATGACTGCCCAAGACGGCCCCCAAACGGCCTCGCAAACCTCCTCAGTTGTCTTAAGAAGGCCACACGACGGCGCCGTGAGGCCCCCCCAAAGGCTCTAAAATGCCGCAGAAAGCCCCCCAAAGGGGAACCCGCGTACTCCATGGCGAACCTAAGCGCGGCGCGAGACTGCTGGGTGGCATGGCGCCTGGCCCAATGAAGTCGACGGTGTCCCGCTTGAGCTTCCACGTGGTGCCTGGTCGCGCAAGGCGCGCCACCCCTCCGCCGCTGCTGCTGCTCCTGCTCCCGCCAGGCTCAGTACATCTGGTGTTAAGGTCGGGCACGTCCTCGTACAGGTGGATGTTGGATGAAGAAGAAAACCAAACACAGTCGACAATATCAACAACAAAAATGAATGAATCGAAAAGATCGTCCTCAGGCTCTTCTGTGACTATGTTTGAATCTTCCTCCTGCAGAGGGGCATGCCCGACTTAAATATGGTTCCATACTTTGGCTGGCACCCGGGCATCAGGACAAGTGCGCCCAACTCCCGCTGTTCCCAGACGCTCCACGTGTGGCGCGCTGGCCTTGCGATAGAGGCCCGACCACAAGGAACCTTCCGCAAGAGACCCAACCCTGAGACCCCAGGACGTCCATGCAAGTCTGGCGTGGGAACGTCACGCCTTCCATCGCACAAACACCATCGACACCCAAGAAACCCAGGGCACCTTGGCGGCAAGCAGGGTGTTTCTTGGCATGGACCTCCCGTGGCTATATTCTCCAGCATGACCTCTCACTCCCATGCTCACGCTCCTTCGTCTAACCAGCGACGGGGGGCGGGCCCAGGCCTCCATTGGCTTGAACATACAGTGGAGGCCAGTCCACGCGAACTCTCACAGGAGACCGAAACCCAGAACACCCTGGAAGCGAGCAGGGTGTTCCTTGGCACGAGCCCCCACTCTGACAAGGCCGAACTGTTTTGCGGTGGTCGATGTCTGGAAACCGCTCTCGGTCTCCAGGACCAGCAACCACGACACAGGAGAGGAATCAAAACTTCGGGGGGGCCCGTATCGATACAAATCACGCTGGAAACCGGGGGAGGAAGAAGAGAAGAGAAAGAAAGGGGGCTTGGCATTTCTGCCGAAACTTGAAACCAGAGCCATCGAATGCGATTCGCGCGCGCTAGCAGTCACCCTGTCTTGGAGCCTTGCGTGTAGCGCGCAAGAGGGACCGTGCCCAAACATTATGTAATCACAAGTTTCAGCAGCATCAGCTTGGTTGCTGAAGGCGCGGCAAAATAACATGTTCAAGGTGATCGGTTACAACTGCATGCAAATGTCCGTAAAGTTCCCACCAGACCTCTGGGCGTAGGTGGCTCAAAGGGTTTCATTCAAATCTCCATATTCCCTGACTGGGTTTTGGCGGGGGTGGGGGCGCGAGGTGTCAGAGGCTCCGATTTGGCTAAGGTGGCCCCGAGATGGTTGGAAGTAACTCAAAGTGGCCGTCAAGATAGTTGAATCCAGCTTCTAGTATGCCTCCACAAACTGTTCCAAGTGGCGACAAAGCGTCCCAAGGCTACCCCCAAGAGGCCAACACCGTTCAAACACGTCCAGCGACGCAACGAGTTTAGTTTAGACGCAACGTTTTGTTCCCCTAGAGTTGCTTCCTCGTCGCTTTTTCGTTGGCGATGGATGTTTGAAGCCTCAAGTTGGCTCCCGGGTCGCCTAAAAGAGTCCCAAGAAGTGGCCCCCGAGCGCCCCCAGACGGACAGAAGCGAGCGATCAAGAGCACCCCAGGACAGCTTCGAAAGGCGAGCGATCGGGTACTGACGGGGCGGAACTAATCTGAATCCCCCAGCTGGCTTGTGGACAGAACCGCTGAACAACTTCAGGTGACTGAATGATGTTGGCATCTCGGAAGCATTCTCGGGAGGCTTGCGGGCGAAAAACCCAAGACTCCCCGAGACGGCTCCAAGTGGCCACGCCCAGGATAGCCCAATCTGGCCTCAAGATGACTCACAATTGGAAGCGATGGTCATGAGATGGCCCAATATGGCCTCGTGACGACGCATCAAGCCACCGATGCTGACCAATATGCCTCCCAGGTGACTCCAAGACGGCCTAAAGGGCCCCAATGAGGGCCCCAGGACGGCCGGAGAATGCCCCAAGAGGGCACCAATATGGCCCCAACACTGCCTAAGGTGCCTCTGATGCGGCGCTGCCCAGGAGGGTCGCAAGACGGCCCACAGACGCCACAACACGGCCCTCAAAGGCGTCAGACGGCCCGAGCGCCCCGACACAGTTCGAAGATGGCCACCATGCGAATCCTGCGCAGGCGTGTGCGTCTCAGGTGTGTGTGTGTGTGTGCGTGTGTGCGTGTGTGTGCGTGCGTATGTGTGCGTGTGTGTGTGTGTGTGTGTGTGTGTGTGTGTGTGTGTGTGTGTGTGTGTGCGTGTACAGGCGGGCTGGCGCCATGCATGCGAATCCTGTACTGGGGCCTTCGGTGGAGCTCCCTACGGGGTCACGAAGCGTGCGAGGGTGTGCCGAATTGGGAGGCGGCCACCGTGCGAGCCCCGCTACGGTGGGCCTTTTTTCATTCAAGACGCAGCAGAGCGCGCAACGCGCTCCGTTCTGCTCCTGCGGACTGCGGCGGGCACCGCACCCACTTGACCCGGCGCTGGAGGCTGGCAGACGGCCAATCCTCGACAGGTTGCCCGACGCAGGCTCGCCAGGCGCCTGCACGCGAGGGGCTCCGAGACAGACGAGCATCACGCACAGGAGTCCGCTCATGTGAGCGGCCTTTCGCTGTTCACCATCAGCAGCATCACCATCACCATCACCATCATATTCATCATATTCATCATCATCATCATCATCATCATCATCATCATCATCATCATCATCGTCATCATCATCATCATCATCATCATCATCAGCATCAGCATCATCCGCATCATCATCACCATCACCATCACCATCACCATCACCACCATCATCATCATCATCATCATCATCATCAGCATCATCATCATCATCAAACTCATCATCACCACCATCATCATCAGCAGCATCACCATCATCATCATCACCACCACCACCATCATCATGATCATCATCACCACCACCACCATCATGATCAGCATCAACATCATCATCAACATCGTCGTGTTGGCCTTCCGCCACCTGCTCCTCGCAGCCTCATTGGCCGTGGTCTTCTCGCAAGCCGGCCCGAGGCCGCGGAGCTTGCCCTTGAACACCTTGCCACGCCACGTGGCCGAAGACGGTGCGGAGCTCGTGGCCCATCTCGCCCTCAGCGCCCAGCGAGCCAGACCCGCTGGGGACCTCGGCCGCCCCCGTGCCTCTGCTGGGGGCGCCGGGCCCGCTCCCAGCACCCCCGTGCCCTGCCCTGGCGGACCCAGCGGCCCGAGTTCCAGGGCCGGCTGCGCGTCGCCAGCACCGCCAGGCAGAACGTGTACACCAGCAGCGTGGCTCACATCGCACTCGCGAGGGCCCGCCAGCGCCGCGCCGTCGTCGTCCTCGTGGTCGCCGTGCACCTCTGTCTGCAGCCCATCTTCGTGCGCCCTCGCTGCTGCAAGCGCCACCGCCCACGGCACCAGCGTGCCAAAGAGCCGATGCTGATGCCCTTTCTGTCAGCAGCTCGTCCCCGTACGCCTTCGCCGCCTCCAGTGCCGTCGCCGGAGCCCCAGCGGGCCGAAGAGCCATCTCTGCTGGCAGCCGAGAGGGTCGGCTGCCCTTCTCGCGGAGAGCGGAGGCCTGCGCCGCTGCTGTCTTCGCGGAGAGCCTGCGGGCGTTCTACGTGTCGAGCCCCGACCGACGGCGCTCCAGCCCGTGGGTAGCCTGGGGGCCACTGACATCGCACTTCGCCGTGACCAACCCGTGCTTGGAGGGGTCGCGCCTCGGGACGGCGTCTGCAGCTGTCGGTGCGGCATCATCGTGATCTGCGCCTCTTTCCGCACCAGCCACGGCGCCCGCCAGCGCCGCCATAGCATCTGCGGCTGCCACCGCCGCAGCGGCTGTGCCTCCGGCTAACCCCCCTGCTCCGCGGCCGCCGCTTGCTTCAGAGCTGTCGGTGCTCGAATCGAGCCGACTAGCTCTATCCGAGCTGCCCAACTGGCCGACTCCCAGGCCAGGTGGGGGCCCGCTCGTTGGGACCAGGGTTAGGTCGGGCATGTCCTCCTACAGGCAGATGTTGGGCGAAACTTCAAAAGAACTCACCAAATTATCAAACATATTCCAAACATCGTCCCCATATTATATTCAAACATATGTTTGAAGATTCCTCCTGTAGAGGGGCATGCTCGACTTGAGACCAGGGTCCTCATGACAAGCTCATTCGCCCTAGTCCATCGCCTGCGCCGTGGCGGCAAGCCGCCGGCGGTGCCCTCGGGGCTGGGCCGCCGCCGCGTCCTGGGGCCCCTGGGCAGCGCCCCCGCTAAGAATCGCGCTGGCCGTCCGCGCTGCAGTCATAAGCTGGTCCTCCTCGTCCAGGCGCGCGCCGCCCTTAAGAGGGACGCACAGAGACATACAAATACCATATGTCCTCCTTGGAGGCGCGCGTCCGACCCGAACATACAGTAGACCCATCTTGTAATATGTCGTTCCCCGAGCGGTACGGCCAGGAAGCGCCAGCCACGGAGCTTATACTACAAGATTTCTCGGTGCGCGCGTCGCCAAGGGGGGCGACGCACATATAGTATTAGTATGTTGGGGTGACGCTGGTCAAGGCTCTGCACTCTCTGCAAGCGTTGGGTTCGGTCGCCCATCGCTCGCTGCCGTGCACACTCGAGGATCTTCTCCGCCAGGCGCCTGCGTTCCACGACAGCCGGGGCGCCCCACAGCCCCATGAGGACCTCCACCTCGTCAGACTGGAGCAACGATGCGACGTATGCCGTGCATTCCAGCATCCAGTGTCGGCGCGCCAACTCCTCGCCGACTGGTCCGAGGCGCACCCCCACCTCCTCGCGCGCGTGACCATGCGGTCCTCGAGCTCGCGCGCTCTGGCGGTAGCCCACAGCCCTCGCTCGGCCTCGTGGGGCGGCACAAGCTAGCCCGCACGCCTGGCCTCCTCGGCTGTCCGACTCCTTGGACGGGCCTTGGGTGGAGCACCCTATGGGGCCACGAAGCGCGCGAGGGGGCTGCCGACTGAGGAAGTGGCCGCCATGCGAACCCTGCCATCGGGGGCC